GCACACGCACATGCCGAGAATCCGAAGACCAGCTGGCTGGTGCACATCCGCATGCCCGAAACCTGAAGACCAGCTGGTTGGCACACACATACGCGTCAGCCAGCTGGCCTTCAGGTTTCCGGCGCTCCAGCACACGCACCTGCACACACATGCACGTGCATTCTGGTTTGGGCACTCAGTGCCGAAAAGGTTCTCCATCACTGTGCTAGTCGTTCCCAACTCTAGGGGGCGGTGCTCATCTCCATTTCAAAGCCGAAGAGCCAGCGCTGTCCGAAGACGTCTCCGTGGTCATGTGGCCGGCATGACTCAACGCCAAAGGCACACGGAACGCTGTTACCTTCCCACCAAAGGTGGTCCCTATTTTTCTACTTGCCTTTTTTACATGCTTTCAAACTGCTAGGTTGGCAGAAGCTGGGACAAGTAACGGGAGCTCACTCGGTTACGCAGCACTCGGGATTCGAACTGCTGAACTGCCGACCTTTTGATCGACAAGCTCAGCTACTGAGCTACCGCGTTCCTTAAAACTATTCTAAAGAAATGCCTAAATAAAATAATAACAATAACATAATAACAGAGTTGGAAGGGATCTTGGAGGTCTTCTAGTCCGACCCTCTGCTCAAACGGGAGAACTTATATCATTCCAGACAAATGGCTATCCAGTCTGTTCTTTAAAACTTCCAGCGTTGGAGCATTTACAACTTCTGAAGGCAACCTGTTCCACTGATTAATTGTTCTCATTATTTTATTTTTTTTTAAATTTGATTTATATGCCACCCTTCTCCGGAGACTCAGGGCGGCTTACAATGCGTTAAGCAATAGCCTTCATACTTTTGTATATTTATACAAAGTCAGCTTATTGCCCCCACAAACTGGGTCCTCAATTTACCTACCTTAGAAAGGATGGAAGGCTGAGTCAACCTTGAGCCTGGTAAGATTCGAACCTGCAGAAATTGTAAGCAGCTGTGTTAATAACAGGGTGCTTAGACCACTGTACTACCAAGGCTCCTTATCTGGACACTTCTCCTTAGTTCTAGGATGCTTCTCTCCTTGATCAATTTCCATCCATTGCTTCTTGTCTTGCCTTCAGGTGCTTTGGAGAATAAGCTGACCCCCCCCTCTTCTTTGTGGCAGCCTCTCCCATAAATATTGTAACACTGAAATGCTCATCAAAACTGTCCAAATGAGGGCTAAGCAATTAAATCAAGGGCAGTCGTCCTATGACTAGGAAGGTATTTCCTCTAAGGAAACAGATGCATGACTCACCGGCCACCAAGACATCCGAAGGATGTTTTATATGCATGCCAACCTTTGCTCTAGCCTGATTGACACAACAGAAAAAGGCAGGCTGAAGAAGACACAGGACAAATCCAATATATCAGCCGGGGAGCAAAAATATTTGCTTGCTTCCTGTTGCTCATTTCTCAGTCAGCTATAATCCGAGTGATGATTTCAACAAAAATAAATGCCCAGGGTTAGATTTGGTACTCTGGACAGTTCCCTAGTGCTGGATTTATATTGTAGAAGGTGAAAATTGCATGCTAATAAATTTAATCCAGGTAGTCCTTAATTTACGACCACAAGGGGGACCGAAATTTCCATTGCTAAACCCAACAGTTGTTAAAAAGGAAGGAAGGAAGGAAGGAAGGAAGGAAGGAAGGAAGGAAGGAAGCTATGAAATCTGGCTAGGTGGCTTAGAAGCAGCGGCCATGGGCCGAAGAGGGCGACACAGTGGTGGGTTCCTCCCGGTTCTGCCCAGTTCTGCCGAGCTGGTAGGCCTGGGTAGGCCGGAGCCTCCGACCCAGTATGCCTGCCCACGGGTCTTGGTGTTGCCAGGGGATACGGGAAGCTCACTGGGGAATTCTGGGAGTTGAAGTCCACAGATCTTCACGTTGCCAGGGTTGGAAACGTTGTTCTAGTAGCAATAGCAAGAACACTTAGACTTATATACCGCTTCACAGTGCTTTCCAGCCCTCTCTAAGCAGTTTACAGAGTCAGCCTCTTGCCCCCAACAATCTGCCTCCTCATTTTACCCACCTCGGAAGGATGGAAGGCTGAGTCAAGCTTGAGCCGGTGAGATTCGAACTGCTGAACTGCAGCTAAAACCAGAGGCAACTAATCTGGTGATGTATACAAACCGTGGCTACATTGAACCTTGGCTGAGTTTGAAAAGCTCTGTAGCAAACCTGGTTAGTTTTTGGATGGAACACCAAAAGGAAAGACCCAGAGGTGGACTGCTAGGGGTTCGGGAGAACCTCTAGCTAAGATTCTGTGCAGTTCGGAGAACCCCCAAATCCCACTCCTGGCTGGCCCCGCCCACCCCACCCCTCCCAGGAGTCCCCACGTGGCCCATTTTGGATGCAAGTAAGCACAGGGTGCACACAGAGGCTCGGGGAGGGTGAAAAACGGGCCTACTGGAAGTTCGGGAAGACCAGAAACAGGCCCGTTTCCAGCCTCCAGAGGGCCTCCAGAGCTTGGGGAGGCCGTTTTCGCCCTCCCAGAGGCTCAAGGAAAACCTCCAGAGCCTGGGGAGGGCAAAAACGCCCCCGCCCGCCTGCCGTGGTGCAGGAGGCTGACTAGGCCACGCCCACCATGGCCACACCCACTCAGCAACCAGGCAGAGAACCCCTTGCTAAAATTTTTCAAGCCCACTCCTGGAAATACTAAGATCGTAGGCTAGGCTAGGAAGTAAAGAAGTAAAACATTCACGACGGAGGCTATGCAGAGTTAATTCTTTGAATGTAACGCAAGTAAGTTTACATTTAAATGAAACACACAGCTTCATTTATTTCTTAAGCCGGGCCCACCCTTGTCCTTATACCCTTTTGAAGACAGACGGAGGCTGGAGGAGAAAAAAAATTCTCTTGAAGTAATGTTTAATCTGCTGAAAATTTATAACGCTGTTTTGTTGAGAAGCGTGTATTCCATGCCTGGCTAAGAATCATATTTTGTTTTTTTTTTTAAATGCTCTCAGTCACCAGAAGTTTTTTTTTTTATCACTGGACTGTTTTAATTCACCTCCTACTTTAAGATGATTTTATTCAAGTGTTTTTCATTAAGTCTTCAGTACTGTCTGTGTAGCCGTTCCCGCCTCGGTTGACAGGATCTTTCTGGAGATAAATTCTAACGCTGTTTTCTTGCCAATTGCTTTATTCGCTTATCTTTAGATCTTCTTTCTGATGGCTAATTTATCTGAAGTTCTACTGAGCTTGGGTTTTCATTATCAAAAAAGGCTGCTGATTTCTAAATATCTGCCCCAGCTCAATTCAAGGTATTAAATCCTGTCAAACCTCTTTGGAGATTCTCAGTCATCCAGGTCATGGTTGTCCCAAAGGTGTTTTTTCAAGAGGCAACTGGACTTTCTGGTTTTTCTTTGAAGATGTTTCGCTTGAGGACACAGATAAACCTCCAAGTGGCCTCAATGTCTCTCTCAAAGGATGCAAATGATCAGCTGTCTGCAAGGAGTATAAATCCTTCCATTGCCCACCATTCAGTCAGAGCTGAAGAAGCTTCTTGGATGAGAAGCGAAACGTCTTCAAAGAAAAACCAGAAAGTCCAGTTGCCTCTTGAAAAATGTATAATCCAACAACATACTCATCTCTGAGGGGGGAAAAAAACAAGGAACAGAGGATTCCTGAGAAGAAATCCTCAAGTTATGACCATAATGGAGCCTGCCTATCGCGGTCATAACAACCTCATTTTATGAACTTGTTTGCAGCGGTCATTAAACAAATGACATGGTTGTTAAGTGAAACCATGGTGAACCAGGTTGGAAGTACCCTCAAGATCGATCTGTCAGAACTGGTCATAACTCAAGGACTATCTTTATTTCTTTGAGATCTGACCACAGGCTGTTGAGCGTTGCATTTTGTTCTCGGGGTATTTATTTATTCATTTATTATTTTTATTTATTATTATTTGTCAAACACGTAAGATAACAGATATATAAACATGATTATGAATACAGGAAATGGGTATGAATAAATGGGGGACAATAGGACAGGGACGGAAGGCACGCTGGTACACTTATGCATGCCCCTACAGACCTCTTAGGAATGGGGTGAGGTCAACAGTAGACAGTCTAAGGTTAAAGTTTTGGGGGTTTGGGGAAGAAGCCACAGAGTCAGGTAGTGCATTCCAGGCATTGACCTCTCTGTTGCTGAAGTCGTATTTTCTGCAGTCTAGTTTGGATGGGTTTAGCATGAGTTTGTGTCTCTATTGTGTGCTCGTGTATTGTTGTGCAAAGGCTGAGGAATTCTGGGAGTTGAAGTCCACACGTCTTAAAGTTGCCAAGGTTGGAGACCCCTGATCTAACAGATGGAAGATTATCAAAGAAAGATCCAGCCTAGAATTAAGGAGTAATTTCCTGACAGTGACAAAAATCAACCACTGGAACAGTTTGTCTTCAGAACCTGTGGGTGCTCCGTCACTGAAGGTTTTCAAGAAGAGACAGGACAACCATCTGTCTGAAATGGTACCAGGTTTCCTGCCTGAGCAGGGGGTTGGACTAGAAGATCTCCAAGGTCCCTTTCCACCTCTGTTATTCTGATACTAATCTGGTCTTCCCACTCCGTGAATTTTGGACTTTCATAGTTGCCCCCACACTGAAGAGAAGACGGAGACGACCAGATTCTTCTACCTGTTCCTCTCTTTGTAAAGAAAAGCTAAAAGAACTCTGACACCTGCAAATAGCTCAAGCAGGTCAACAAATCCCAAAGACACCAACATAAGCACTGGGGTCAGGATTCGTTGGCCAAGATAGAACCAAGAAGTCGTCATCCCAAACGATGAAAGCAGTCATCCCTCTTCTGTCGTGTCGTTGTGTCCCGTCCCCCGGGATTCCAGAGTAGGAGAAAGGAGGAAAGATGCTTTATTCAGTCCCCCTCCCCTCTCCCCGTCAGGATTTTTCTCCGAAACAGTTAATAGCGGCTGAGCTCCTGCCCACACATATGATCTCATTTCTCCTGCCTGCCAATCCCAGCCATTGGCTGCTACAGCAAAAGAATCAGTGGGAGCCAACGCTGGTGCAGAAAGCCAGAAACCTTCTCCAGCCAGAAGCAGCCAGAGAAAGAGAGAGAGAGAAAGAAAGAGAGAGAGAGAACGCAACAAGAGAAGAAACGAAGGAGAGGACTTCCCTTGTGGTTCTCCACTCCCAGAAAGAAGCTACGTTGCAAGAGTTCTGGATCTTCCTCCTCCCAGGGAGTTGGGGATAAGAGTCTTCCACCGGGCACCTGCCAGAATGATGAACTGTAAGTCCAACTCGCTGACTTGCCTCCAAGGAGGCAAATCGGGGCTGCCCGTAGCTGCCACCACGGACTCCACCGCCACCTTGAATAAGCTAGCCCTGGCCACAGGGGGCACCGAGAAGTCGTGGTACCGTTGCATCTTCCCCTTTGGCATCGTTGCCTTGGTGATCGGCATTGCCGCCACCTGCATCACCTTCACCATCAATGGGCCCCAGATGGACATTGCCAAGGTGGTCTCCGTGGCCACCTTGCTCTTTGGAGTCGGCCTCCTGGTGGCCGCCTTGGTCTGCTGGCGGGCCAAACGAGAGCGTCAACGGAAGAAGCAGCAGGAAGAGCCCCTTCCCTTAGAACCGGGGGGTCTCTGAAGCCCACCTTGGGCCAAACCTCCCCCCAGGAATCAACCTTTGCTGTAGAGAACCCTATCTTTTTCATGTCTTCCATGGCAGATGTTGGGGAAAGGAGCTATGGAGACACACATCCCGTGTGTTGGGGATAGAAGCCAGCCAGCCAGCCAGGGGGCTCTTGGAGCTCCTATAACTCAGCGTGATGAGTGGCATTATGGACTAGTTAAGGTAGTCAGCTCAGGCCAAGAAGGACGGAGAATCAGTCCCTGCAGGTGAATGGCCAGGATGGGTGCCCAGCTGACCATACTTCAGCCTTCCTTCCTCCCCACTCACACCTTTAGGAAGATGGTTTGATCTCAGCCAATGGGGCTGTGGACGAACAAACCCCAAGGACTAACTTCAGGAAGAGAGTAACAAAAATCCAGAGTTCTTTCCTTGAGTCGTTTCCTCGAGGAGACTGACTGCTGCTTTCCAGTGCAGCTACGCCCACCTCTGTCTTTAACTGTGGATGGGGAAAAAACAACACCAAAATATCCTTTTGAAAGAAAGGAAAAAGCTAAAACATCAATCCCAGGATATGGAGCTGGAGGTCGTGAGAAGTTCCAAGTGGCTTCTAAGTGTGAATCTTTTTTTTTTTTTTTTCCCTGTCTTTGGTTATTACCAGCCCTCCGGGCGGATGAGGAAAAGAGACCAGGATTCCATCTGGGCTGCAACAGCCACCCTTGTTTCCCACGGGGGGGAAACCAGGTTGAAAGTTACTGCGCAGCTTTTAGAAACGAACAAGCATTCCCTTCTGCTGCCAAGGCGTTCAGCAAGTTAGGCGGAGAACCTGATTTTGTTCTCGGACGGTTAAAGAGGCCGGCGTGCCAAGAAGATGCCCACTTCGGTTTGCCAGATCTCAAGCAAATGCCGAGGGCCGTCGCAACTGCCACTGCTCCTTGCAAAGTGGTACAGCTTCTTCAGACTGTGAGGATTTGAGGGAGGGATGGGGGGATGGGGAAAGGAGAGGGGGTGATTTACTACGGAGTAGCAGTTTGGTGTCTCAAAACAATGCAGCCATGCCCCTTGTTTTGGAAGCACTGTGTACGTAGGGAGTTGGCGATAGCAAAGGGCGAATTAAAACTTGATTTCCCCAGGAATAAATTCCTAGGGACAGATCCTGCCCTCTTTGGTCTCTTACTGGGCCTTGCTTTGGATGAATTCGGTCTGGGTCGGGCTGCACCAGAGAGGTGTGCACGCTGGTGCTTGTAACACCGAAAAGGTGTTTTGTGCGTAGAAAGTATCCAAAGCTGGCTCAGTTAGCCGTTTCTGGACAAGAGTTGCAAAAAATAGCTTTGAGTATCGTCCTCCAAGATTGGGAGTTTGGAGGGTGAAAAAGCAAATTTGTTCGAACCTTCTCTCGGTGAAAAATGAGGTGCAGTAATGTGTATTACAAATAGATGCATAAGGGAATAAAACAGCTTCACCTTTTGAAGTCGTTCTTTGGAAGGCGTCTGGAATCCTGGCAAGGGATCTCGTAGGCTGTTTTTGATGCCTTCTCCATTGCCCCGTTAAATCCAGAGTGTGCTCCAGAAGCTTGTGTATGTGTGTGTGTTTTGGTGTGCGTGTGTGCGTGCGTGTGTGAAACCTGCCCTCTGAAAACTGGAGAGCAGGTCTCCAGAACCTTTCCAAAAATTATCCCTCTGCCTTAAGAAGAAAGGAGGCCATGGGGATGATGAAGGAAGGCTCTTCTGCATTTCATTGCATGGCATGAAAACGAAGTCTAGTCTGCAGGTGGTCCTCCACTTACAACACTTTCACTTAGGGACTGTTCAAAGTTACGACGGCGCTGGGGAAAAGTGAGTTATGACTCTTTTTCACACTTAACAACCACTGCAGCGTCCCCGTGGTCATGTGGTCAGAATTCGGGTCATGTGGCAACCGACTCATATTTATGACGGTTGCAGTGTCCCCCCCCGGGTGTGTGTGTGTGTGTGTGTGTGTGTGTGTGTGTGTGTGTGTCACATGATCCGCTTTTGCAACCTTCTGACAAGCAAAGTCCACGGGGAAAGCCAGATTCACTTAACGACCGGGTTACTAACTGAACAATTGCGTCGATTCACTTCACAAACTGCTGGCCGGAAAGCTCGTAAAATGGGACCAAATTTTGCTTCAATGTTTGGCTTAGCCACCGAAAGTTTGGGCTCAGTTGTGGTTGTAAGTCGAGGATTATCTGCATTGGGCTGCTCCAAGCATCCTTGTCAGGGGAAGGTGATCCTGGCCTTCTCCTCCTAACCAAAGGTAGGTCGCTGGGCCAGGCAAGGTGCTTTTTCAAGAGGCAACTGGACTTTCTCGTTTTTTCTTTTGAAGACGTTTCGCTTTTCCTCCAAGAAGCTTCTTCAGCTCTGACTGGATGGTGGGGAACGGAAGGATTTATACTCCTTGCAGACAGCTGGTCATTTGCCTCCTTTTAGAGAGTTGTTGAGGCCACCTGAATCTTTATCTGTGTCCTCAGGGTCACTTGAGTAGTGCAAATGATTCATGTAGTCTGCAGTTTTTCCTCTGGAAATCCATTCGTACTCCCACACCATTCCAAGGGGGTTCATCCCAAATTGTACAGCTAAAAGTCTGTAGAGATTCTCTATCATCCAGGTCATGGTTGTCCCAAAGGTGCTTTTTCAGGAGGCAACTGGACTTTCTGTTTTTTTCTTTTGAAGACATTTCCCTTCTCATCCAAGAAGCTTCTTCAGCTCTGACTGGATGGTGGGGAATGGAAGGATTGATACTCCTTGCAGACAGCTGTCATTTGCATCTTTTTAGAGGGTCGTTGAAGCACTCAGAGGTTTCTCTGTGTCCTCAAGATCACCTGAGTGGTGCAAATGGTTCCTGTAGTCTGCAGTTTTTTTCCTCTGAAAATCCATTCCTCCTCCCACACCTTTCCAAGTGGGTTCATCCCAAATTCCATAGCTAAAAGCCTGTAGCTATTCTCAGCCATCTAAGTCATGGTTGTCCCAAAGGTGCTTTTTCAGGAGGCAACTGGAAAAGCTGCCTCTTGAAATAGCACCTTTGGGACAACCATGACCTGGATGACTGAGAATCTCTACAGACAATTGGGTTTTGACTTGTCTTTCCTGGTTCAGAGGTCCATCTGGATGACCCAGATGGGGTTGGGCTGGGGTGGCTCAGTGGCTAAGACACTGAGCTTGTCGATCAGAAAGTTCGGCGGTTCGAATCCCTAGTACAGGTCTCCTGCATGAGCAGGGGGTTGGACTGGATGACCTCCAGGGTCCCTTCCAACTGTGCTACTGACTGACCCAGATAGTGACAGAAAGCTCCTGTTCTCCGGTTTGTTGTTTGGTCCTCAACTGTTGTCTCATAACACACCCTGTTGCTAGCAGAGGTTAGAGGATAACTCAGCTGCTCCTTAGCACCTGGACCTCAGCCCACCTCTGGACATGCAGCTGGAAAGAAGCAAAACTGGATTCTGTCCAAGGAGACACAGCTGCCGGCAGGAGCCCATGTCTGGGGTGACGGGCAGGTGGGCGGGGAGAACAGAGAACACAGAGCCGGTCACATCCATCACGTTTCTGGCTGCAAACTTCACGGCTTCACAGTGGCAGAAAATCCCCCGAGGTGGCTCAGCCAGGCCTGGCCGAGATGCAACAGATGTGGAAGTAAAAGCTGTAATGGTTCATTCAAAAAAACAGAAGAAGACCAAACGCTGGGAAAAGAGATGATCTAGAGAAGAAATAGAGGGACGCGGTGGCTCAGTGGCTAAGACGTTGAGCTTGTCGATCGAAAGGTCGGCAGTTCAGCGGTTCGAATCCTGAGTGCCGCATAATGGAGTGAGCTCCCGTTGCTTGTCCCAGCTTCTGCCAGCAGTTCGAAAGCACGTAAAAAAAAATGCAAGTAGAAAAATAGGGACCACCTTTGGTGGGAGGGGAACAGCATTCCGTGCGCCTTTGCCGTTGAGTCCACATGACCACGGAGACATCTTCGGACAGCGCTGGCTCTTCGGCTTTGAAACAGAGATGAGCACCGCCCCCTAGAGTCGGGAACAACTAGCACATATGTGCGAGGGGAACCTTTACCTTTACCTTAATATGTATTTTTCGAAGTCTGCTTTTCCTCTGGGCATCATTACTCACCCCTTCCCTCTTTTTTTCTTTTAATCCTCAAGTCAATCTTATAAGCTCGTGATGCAGGAGGAAGAATGATTGATCTCATGTCTTTCTGGAAGTTTCGTAGCTAAATGAGAACCTGTGTATCTCTAGGGTTGAGTCATCGCAATGTACATCATTTGGTTTCTGCTTGCCATTTCTGCATACAGTAACTGGGGATTGCTTTGAGTTCTGGCAACTTGAGGCATGTTTTTTTTCTTCTTCTTTCCTGTGGGGGTTGGAAGGGTTCCTCCGTTTCGAAGCCGAAGAGCCAGCGCTGTCTGATGATGTCTCCATGGTCATGTGGCCGGCATGACTCAACGCCAAAGGTGCACGGAACACTGTTACCTTCCCACCAAAGGTGGTTCCTATTTTTCTACTTGCATTTTTTTTACGTGCTTTCAAACTGCTAGATTGGCAGAAACTGGGATAAGTCACGGGAACTCATCCCATTACACGGCACTAGGGACTCGAACCACCGAACAGCCGACCTTTCTGATCGACAAGCTCGGCGTCCTTAGCCACTGAGCCACCGCTTCCCTCTGCCGCTGTATATGGAAGGTGCCAAAAATGCTCTAAAACTCAACTCTTCTTTCTCCCAGAGAGAAATCAATAAGGCTATCTCGGAAGGTAGAAGAGGTCCATATTTCTGCCACAGGGATGTCTCGGTGAAATATCGAGAGGTCCATCCGAAGTCAAGGCAGACTTCATGTTTCTTTTCTTCATCCAAACAGAAAACAAAAGTCAGCCAAAAAAAACACGAGATGCTTTTTTTTTTTTTAAATGAAATGCAATTACAACCCTAGTATAAGGACCGAAGAAAAACAGCCTCTCTTCGTGAGGTAAACAAACAGTCTTCCCCACTGTTTAATAGCACAGATTTCAATCTCCCTGGAAAAAAAAAAAAAAAGGAGTCATATTTGATTTACAGGCCATTAACAGAGCTTCCCCCCCACCAGTCCTTTTAAAGAGAAGTAATGGCAGGAGAAGAAAAAAATAAAATAAAACTTAATTTAGCAGGAGACATATAAGGGCCTACTTATCCTGGCAGTCATTTTCAGCTCTCTGGCTTCCCTTGATTGCTCTACTGAAATCTGGTGTCAAGATCACCAAATTTTAGAGATAAAAACTTTGACCATTAGAGAAAAGGGCTGAAAGCTATTCCTTTGCTAGGGGGTCTCCTGGACTAAATCTCCTTTTTAAAAATCTTAACCCCGACATCAGTGGTGGGTTTCAATTTTTTTACTACCAGTTCTGTGGTCGTGGCTTGGTGGGCATGGCAGGGGAAAGATACTGTAAAATCTCCATTCCCACCCTACTCCAGGGGAAGGATACTGTAAAGTCTCCATCCCCTCCCCACTCCAGGGGAAGGTTATTACAAAATCCCCCTTTCCTCCCGATCAGCTGGGACTTGGGAGACAGAGGATGGGGGTGGGGCCAGTCAGAATTTTTACTACCGGTTCTCCGAACTACTCAAACTTTTCGCTACCGGTTCTCCAGAACTGGTCAGAACCTGCTGAAACCCACCTCTGCCCGACATGAAAAAACTGGGACTAAACCAGTGGTGAAATCCAAATTTTTTTACTACTGGTTCTGTGGGCATGGCTCGGTGGGCGTGGCAGGAGAAGGATAGTGCAAAATCTCCATTCCCACCCCACTCTGGGGCCAGCCAGAGGTGATATTTGCCGGTTCTCTGAACTACTCAAAATTTCCCCTACCGGTTCTCCAGAACCTGTCAGAACCTTCTGGATTTTATCCCTGTACCAAACCAGATCTCAATCCTATCTTCCTCGTGTTCTCCTGTGTAGGAAGTTAGCACCCACCCCTCTCCTAGAAGAATGAAATATTCTAGGAAATATTAAAAAGGCAGAATATTATACCCCCCCTGGATGAGAAATGGAGAAACATGTTTTTTAGGCAGGAAGCAGACTCACTCTTAATAGCCCCCACACTCTCAATAATCTACAGCAGATGTCAGCATTTAAGAGATAAAGAGATAGCTGGGTCTATTCATAAGCAAATGCCCTCAATCCAAGATTCAACAAAGTTAGGATTAGCCCTCTACCTATCTAGCAACAGAACTCACCACATGGCACCTGGGGAGATTGCAGTACCCAGCAAGGCTCAACCAAGCCTGGGACTCAAAAGACAACCTACAAAGTTCACCCCTGCATGGCCCCATGGGAATCCGACAATGAACACAAGCTCGAATTCAAAGCCCAACAGAGGGTATAAAAATCTCTCTCTCTCTCACCCATGTGCCTTTTTGCCTAGGGCCTCAAAACCAAGTGCTCCTGTCCACCATTAAACCATCATTTCAAGCAGTCTCCA